CATCACGTATGCCGATAACACATGTATCTTATCAATTAATAAAGATCTATCAATTCCATCCCAAACTCTTCAATCACACATTCCAAACCTTGAAGAATGGTGTCAAAACTGGAGGTTTAAAATACTTTCCGGTAAATCCCATCAAATCACCTTTACCCTTCTTCGTAAATCCCTGACCCTCTGTCTTGTATTATCCTTTAATAATACTCCACATATCTCTGTTGAAAAGATCCGATACCTAGAACTTAACATGGACAAACGTCTAACTTGAAATCCTCATACAAGATTGAAACGACAAGTAGCCGTTCGAAGTTTTCAGTAACTTATATAACAATATTTATTAGGCACACTCCTGTAAGCTTCCTGTTAATTATAAAAGACTCACATATATATATATATATATATATATATATATATAATATATATATATATATATATATGACTATAATAAAGCCTATGTGGGCTAACAGGATTGTGCTTTGGGGCTCCATTGAACCATCGGATTTCTCAATATCCAGTCATTACAATCCAAAATCTGTTGTAAAATCCTCAATGCTCTTTACTTTATCACAAATAAAAACACCCAGAATGATCTTCGTGTTTCAAATTTTTCCGATTTGGCTCAATCGGATACAGCCTTCCATAATAAACTTTAGAGCTCTCTCTTTTCTAACCTTGCTTCCTCTTCGATCACCGATAACTCTCTGAGGTATCAGAAAAGAAAAAGTAAATTCTAATCTTTTATTGCAGTGCTACCAATGAGTAGTTTCTCTACAAGCCTTATCGTGTCATTATATCTCTTTATTTTCATTTACTAAGTGTATTTATTTATTTTAATTTAAATATAATTTTAATTATGAAATTAATTATTTTATTTTAATACTGTTGTCAATTTTACAAATGAAGAAAAATGTTATATAATTTTACTATTGCTTCTCAGGTTTACATTGAATGGGACGAAGGTTTGTTCAGATTTGTAAAGGATGATGCTGCTGAAGCTCGTTACGAACTGAAAGGTACAGGAGGAAAAGATTTTGAAGTTCAGGCTAGAGCTGAGCCTTTCCGAATCCAGGTCTGCTACAAGAACTTGGAACCAGAAGGGAAGGAGCGAGGAGCAGTCGAGTGCTTGGGCTGGGCTAGAGACGGCGAGATAACATTTGTATTGTCTGAGTCTCACAAAGGCACATATTTCATTGAGTACTACTGATCTCAATTCTTCTGATTTTTTCATTACACTACTTTCTTTTCTCATTCCTCACTTCATTCACTTCCACTTTTCTCTAAAATATCTCATAGTTCACTCCTGATTTTGAATAACTGAAGCAAACCCGAGCTATGTGGTTTATTATTATTATTAAACGACGCTAGATCACTAGATACGGGCACTTAAAAATATTGAGGGAGGGCAAAGGTTATCTATCTATCTTAATGCCTCTACAACACTCAGTGGGCCCTGGCCTCCTCAATGAGCTTCCGCCAAATTTCTCTATTCTGTGCGGCCACTTTCCAGTTTCTGACTCCCAACAGGTCTCTAGCGTCACCTGCCACACTAACCATCTCCTATCTCAATTTCGGTCTGCCAGCTCTCCCCGTATAGTGTAATGGCTCCTCAAGCAATCTTATCGGGATTTCAGACCTCTCCATCCGAGCTATGTGTCCTGCCCAACTCAGCCTTCCTACCTTTATTATTCTGGCCACATTAGGTTCATTGAACGATTCGTAGACCTCTCTATTATTCCGAATTCTCCAATCCAGTCCTTCCTTTACAGGGCCAAATATTCTTCTAAGAATTTTCCTTTCAAAGACTAGAAGGTCTTTTTCGTCATTTTTGGATAAGGTCCATGTTTGGCTACCGTAGATAAGAACTGGCCGGATGAGCGTTTTATAGAGCTGCAGCTTCGTGCATCTACTAAGTTGTGAGCTTCTCAAGTGCTTAAGTAGGCCAAAATAGCATCGATTGGCAGCTATTGTGACGTCTCATTTTTTGCTGTAATTTGGGATCCCAGATAAGAGAACCGTCGGACATTCTCAAAGATGTAAGGGCCTAGAGGTATTCTTTGGTTTTGGAGATTCTCTCTTTCTTCTGTATACATATATTTTGTCTTATTCTCATTAATGTGGAGCCCCATCTTTTTCAATTCAAGGAAGGCACCTTCGAGAGCTGCAAAGGACCATGCAACAATATCAATGTCGTCAGCATAACCTAACAGTTGCACCATATTTGTAAATATCGTACCCCTATTGTGAATGCCAGAGTCCCTCACCACCTTCTCCAGAGCCAAATAAAAGAATAAATATGCCAAAGCATCACCTTGCCTCAATCCTTTATTGATGGGAAACTCCAAGGAGCATTCCGAATGAATGCGTACTCTGCACTACACGTCCTGCATTGTCATTTTAACCAGACGAATTAGTTTAGAGAGAATGTTTAGTTTTCTTATTGCTTCATATAATTTGTGCCTTATTATGGTATCCTAGGCGCCCTTGAAGTAGATAAACAGATGAAGAGTGGGAATTTTATACTCATGACTTCTTAATAGAATCGTTCGAAGTGTGAATATTTGATCTACCGTTTCGGGAACCAGCTTGATATTTTCCAATTTGACAATCAGCATATAGGGCTAGTCTGTTGTAGAGGATGTTGGAGAGTATCATATATGCGCACTGCAGTAACGAAGTCCCTCGGTAGTTGGCGTATTCCAATTGTTCTCCTTTCTTGTGTACAGGACATATGACCGCATATTTCCATTGAAGAGGCATTTTTTCCTGTGCCCAGATGGAGAATATAGATCATAAATGAGCTTATTAGCTCTCCCCCACCATATTTAAATAACTCAGGTGGTAGTCCGTCACCTCCTGGTGCCTTATGATTTTTCATCTGGGATATCGCGTCCTGGACCTCTTCAAGCTCAGGAGGTTCTATTTCTCTATTATCAAGTATGATGCTATTGTGACACTCGCAATCATGTTCTGATTCGGTAGCTCTCTCACTCAGCAGGTCATTAAAATGTCTAGCCCATCTTTCAAGTACTTCTTTCTTATTAGTGAGGAGTGAACTATCTTCCTTTCTGCAAGTTTGAAGTCTCGGCTTAAAAGAGATCCTTTCCATATTAACTTTTTGGAAAAACATTCTATTTCTATTAGTATTTCTCTAGGTATCCACTTCTTCAAGCTGTTTATTCTTCCATTCTCACTGTTTCTTTCTATGGAGTCTCTCTCAGCTTGTCTTTTCATTCTATATTTTTCGGTTGCCTGCCTTGTATACTGCTTCTGCACCAGGGCGAATGTTAGCATAAGATAATAACAGTGTTCAATGAATGGGAGATAGAACGCAATATATAAAAGAGTACTTCAGTAATCAGTTTATAACCCACACTATAATATATATTTCTCTTAGATGTTTTTTGTCAGTAATATATTATGTTACGTGGAATCCAATGATTCAGCCAGTTTTGTAATTATCTTCTCTTTCAGAAGGGGAAGCCTTACTTATCCCTTAGAAAGATCAGGAATCAGAAAAAACAAATGGAAACAAGGAAATATTATTTGTTCATTACTTAAAAAAATTACAATTGATGAATTTAGTTTGAAAGATTTCCGAATTTCATACAAACCGAAAAACAAAAAATATCCAATTCGGACCATTTTAACAAAGAGGAGCCAATTGGATTTTGTACACCTATTTTGGTTTATTATTTGTAATGTATTGTTGCGACTGACCAAGGAAAAAAACATAACTCCTCCTTCTTATAATGAATTTAATTGAATTATTTTTATATTATACTGCCATGTGATTAGCAACCAATATAATATGCGAATTATTTGCATGAGCCTACTAGTTGTATTATTATTATCTATGAGGTTTATTGAACTTTATGCGAGTTATTTTCAGTAATGACTGCGAAATATTAGAGGGGCTGGCCTCTTCAAAAATATTGAGTAGGAGAGGGGCACTAATACCTTTTACATACGACCTTTTGCACTTACAGTAGTGATGTGTCTAGGTCACTAATAATACCTTAATTTCTATATTTTTCCTCCTTTTCCAATTGTGTGGTGTTTTTCATTCTGAGAAGGGATCCTTATAGATGTTTGTTTAGGTTCTGACTTTCGCAGCTACATGCGAATAGTGGCCTAATTAGTTTCTTGCAGATTCTTATTTTGTTTCACTCCGACAATGTGCTACTATGAAGCTATCTTTGGTGGGAAATGTAAGAATCAGTAATTGTAACTTTCCCTGTCAAACATATCAATTTCATTAGATCAGTTATATTTTCCAAATAAATCGGAAACCTGTTGTTTTCCTAAAACAATTCATAAGATTCCTTGCTTCAACACCACAAAAGATCCATATCCTTCTTATCTATTTATTCCATGGCAATTACTATGCAGTCTCTAGAAGAGAGGAAATCTCGATCTTGCCTTAAAACAATACTGTCCTAAGTAATAGGTCCATTTTTTAACGTTTTTAGTGCTGTACCTTAATACTAGTGCAATGAACTTACCTAGACTAAATGTCTTTTCATAATCCTCGAATTTCATGTAACAATGAATGGAAAGATGTACTAACATTTAAATATTTTTTATGAAATAAAGATTTGATAAAAAATGTGATATATATATTACTTCATATAAAAATGATTTCTTCCTATTTGTTGCAAACTTTAAATTAATGAGATCGAATGAATATAACTCTTAATCAAAGATCAATATTATGCTATTACCTTAAGAATTTCGAATTATGGCTGCATTTTTGGAACCAAAAATATTTTTCTGAAAAGTTGTTCTGAATACTTTTAACAACATAATAACATGATGTATAAAATTATATAAACAAAATAAAAGTGAAGAATTAATATTTGATATTTTCAGATTCCAAATTTTAAAGGGGTGATCTACAGTGTTTCATTTTTCAAAATTTCTATTTTGTGCTCAAATGAATATGCATATTAAAGGAAATTAAAATTTAAAGGAAGGGAAATAACAAAATTGTACTATAGTGAATAAGTAGATACATTTATAAATTCAGTTAAACCTTATACATTAGTTCGTACAGACTAATATTCACAGACACTTATGTTAGCGCATCTCATTTACATTCCAAAATATGCTAATTATTGATAAAAAAAAAGGGGAGCGAAATAATTCGATTTATATATTCCCATTGCAAATGTACTTTGAATATTTTACAGTATCATTACATTACATATCACATTTTTAACATAATTTTTAATACTCTTCAATTGTCACTATCCGAATATAATAGCTGAAATTTATATGTATTAGAACAACAAGAAATCATATTAAAATAATATAGGATTTCATCAACGTTTTTAAGTCGTATATCGGCTTCAAAGTAGATGCAATAATCATCTGAAGAAAAGATAGTTCACAGTTAATGAATAAAACTATTTACATTTTTATTTTTATTTTTTTGCCTATATAAGCTAAAATACTTTCAAACAAATTATTTAAAAAACCCATTAGGTATTTCAAAGGAAAAATTGTTTTTATTTGAGATTCTAAAAAAAATGTTAATATTTTTAACAGTACTTTTTGTGGTCCTAATACATAACAATTTGTGCTGGTCCATTCGTGTACAGTGGCAATTGGTATATGTTGTATATTTCGGCTGACTTTAACGTACCAGCACGATTGGAATGTATCAATAGATTGGATTTATTTTTTTCATTTTTTTTATATCAATAATTTCTATCTTTAAAGCAGTACCTCCATTAAAAAAAAAAGAAGTTATTTTTCGAACTATACTTATATGAATATATTTACATCAAATCTCTACTTCTGATTTTATGTGGGTTCTTCTAAAATTATATAAAAGCTTCTTCTTCAAAAGAAGAAAATATATATAACTGTTCGATTTCAAGGTAGTTTTAGTACTTCTTAGTAGTTAAGTGATAATATTTCTGTCAGCCAACTATTTCGAGATGTGTGTTTTCAGGATCTTTGACGTATTTATGCTTGTGCTCATGAAACAGCTTCACCAGTTCTTCTGTGTACAATTTATGATATTGATCAATCTCCTCTCGTGTTGGCTCTTCAATTTTGGGTATTTCTATCGGTGTTCCAACTGTAAAGGGATAGAAGTTGCTTTTTCATTATTTATAAACACTTATGAGATAAATAAAATATTTACTGAATCATATGCATCGCCAAGTTAGAGTAAAGGTTAGTTTTTGAATTTTTTTTCGCTTCCTTCCTGTTCCTAGACAAAATATGCGCTTCAATATTCAACACTTACATTTTGTACATTTTGTCAACATGAAACGTAAATTTGGTTTAAGTTCAGGTAAAACACACAACTTCATCTTCGTAAAAATTACACTTTTGCCTCTAAGCCGACAATATTATGAATTATTTTTAAACATGTATATAATTTCGAAAGATTTAAATTATTTTCGTTTTTGAAAATAAGAGATTCAGTAATATTATTTTTTGGTAGTTGTAAAACAATCAGGGATTCAAAGCAATACGTTTTAATTCTATTTCTTGTTATTAGACGTCTGCATTATTAATGATTGAGATATACCCGCAACCGGTCTGTTGATGATGACGATGCGATTTCGTATTTTAATGACGTTTATATTTTATTTATTTTAGTGGTTTAAATTTAATTTTCATCTATCCATTTCCCACTCCCACCTAATTTGAGGAAAGCTTTGAATTCATAAAGGTATGGAAAAAATTCAACTCGCGCAGCACAAGGAATAAATGACAAGAAATCTGTGCCCCGGAGGAAGCGGTGCCCATCCCACCAAGGTCGATGGCGCAAGATTCTACCCCCACCTCTCTCTTCCCAAGATATTTTGTTGTTCTAGTTGTGTCCGTGTATTTTAATAAGTATAAAATGTTATTTAAATAAGCAATAAAATCGAATCATACATTTAACAGGATTTAAACCAACACACTATTTTAAAAACATGTTTTCAGAACCTTTTATACTAGTGTCTATACAACCTGGCTAAACGAGTCGTCTTAATCATCAGCTAATAGACTCTACTACAAATGTTACGTCAAATTTCGTCCTAGGGTTCATTACTTAGTTGCCTCTGAGCAATATCCAACTCAGCATTCCTGGTTAAGTTAAGCGGGTTCAGATCATAACTCCTGAGCCCGGTCTGTCTGAGTTGCCTTCATTAGATCTAAGGGCCATACATATCCGAAGGGGATGGGATGAAGCAGTTTATTTAATTATTGCTGATGGCACAATTGGATCCAGGATTTAATTTTGGGGAGGGGGGCTTCAGACCGGAAGCTTTTTTTTCATATATATAACGATAATTTCTTTGGAAATACAAAAAGATTTTAACTACCTATATCAATTGGTTTTTAAGTGATTCTTGAAGTCCTATTAAATGTAATTAAACGAGCAATAATACTTTAAGGCATATTTTAAAAATATTTTTTACTATAAAACATGGTTATATTTTACCATTTTAAGGGAGGTGGCTTCAGCCCGAAAGCTCCTCCCCCCCCCCGTAAATCCGCCTGTGGCTGGTGGTATCTTGGTAGCAACAATTAAACCCACAGGCTTTAAATGCAGGTTGGTTTATCTCTGCTTGGGCTTTCACATACCTCCTTATATCTCTTTTATATTTATAATGATGATTATATATAAATTAGTTAACAATAACAAATTGTTGTGGTTCGTGTGTTCTATGTAAAATTAAGATAATGTTTTCAGATAATACTTGAAATAACAGTAATTTTTCATTTACTGGTATTGCGAAAGATACTGGTACTGAATTGGTAAGTTACAGCCTTTTTTTTATTTATTTAAATGATATTTACAACTGTATACAAAAAATATATCTGGTAAATTCGCACATGGATATAATGACATAAAACACATGTTGAGAAACTACCCATTGGTAGCACTCTAATAATATGTCTATATTAGGAGATCACGTGGCCATCTTCTTTTCAGCCGCCTCGGAGGGTTATCAGGAATTGAATAGGAAGCAAGGTTAGAAACAAGAGGGTTGGGATAGTTATGAAGTTTATTATAGAAGGACAGATATCTGGATTGGATCAAATCTGATACATAAGGAACATTAAGGTCATTATGGATGATTTTATTTGTAACAAAGTAAGGAGCATTGAGCACAAAGTAAGGATTTTGGATAAGAGAGGAATTTGAAGGTTTGGTGCTCAGGTAAGTTACAGCCAACGTTTGTTGTTTAACAGGACAAGGGAGTGGCTAAACTAGCCTTAAGTGGCTCACCTTTTCTTAAAAACAGAGCTAACGAAGGTACAATTAGAAAAATCGAAAATATTATACAATTACACTTTCTACGATCTGTTCCATGTTTCCCCTTGTCCCTTAGTCCGAAAATTCATAACACCATCGAAATTTGCCCCCCATCAAAAATTTTTATGGCGCAGCTTGCTCCATGAAACTCCTTTCTGGGCACCCCTGCCCGGAGGTAAAGGTCACCATGTCCATATTTTTATTCAATAATTTATTATCTAAGAAACAAATTATAATTGTTGATAGTTAGAGAACATTGTCCTCCCTGAACAAATACAAAAATTAACGCAGTGTTTTTTATCTTTGGGTACAAATATATATATAATGTATTGTAATTGTAAAATAAAACCGTTAGAGGGAGAGAAAAATCAACTCCCGTTTTACGTTTAATAAATGGACCAACATGTACGCAACGAGGCCAATCTTCACGTTGGCTGAATGCTAATATAAGGTGGAAATCGCCTAAAACGAACTTAAGGAATGTTGATCAGAAAGAAAATAATACGTCAATTAAATAATAACTGATTGCTTCGTATTTCTTGAAATTAAACAAAGGACATTACCGACAGTTGTCAATGGTTTCCTTTTGGGTAAGAATGGAAGGCCCAATACACCCTTTGGCAAGACAAATAGAAATCCAGTATTTCTCTTCAGCCACTGTTGAAGTCTGTGTAATAGGGTTCCTGACTTGGGTATCAACAGCTCATAAATATCATTTTCACCAAAATTAAATACAGGCACTAAACAGCACCTGAAAATAATAATAAAATATTATAAAATGGTTATAAATAAGAATGGAATAATTACTTCATTAATACTATTACTGATTTTTAAACATCTAAACTCTGCTTCCCCGTTGGAGAACTTAATTAATATTTTACTCAGTAGATCCAATATGGTGATTGCACCAGAACTGATTTAAACACGCTAATCTTGCCCATATGCGTAAATTAACGAACTCGTACAACAGTGAAGACTTTGAAATATTCTTTTATTGTGAAATATAAAGTTATATTGACATAATCTTAGTGAACTTCTTACAAACTAGCCTTATGAGGCCTAAACTAATGTTACATAAGTTACATCTAGTGATATTTACAGATGGAATGATGGAATTGAATGGAATGAATTTTTCTAAGATTAAGGGCGGTAATATAGCCCAACTCTGGGGTGGGGATAGGATTGGCCGGAGCAGGAGAGGAGGTGATAGGCGTTATCTTGGTTTCTAGGAACGTTGAGGGCGGCAACATAAGGGTAGGGTGCTGGACAAAGGATATTCAGAAGTAAAGTAATAAAACTTCTCTAAGGGCGGAAGCCTTGACAGTTCAAAAGGAATCCGATGGACAACTGCCTGATATTCGGGGTTGTGACATTGACAGCTTTTAGAATTAGGGCGGATGCACGTCACATAAATATACCACATGGTCAAGATGCCCACTTCCAAACGGACTTATTCCCACGGACAAGGGTCACAGGATATTATAACTCAATGGTCAAAGCGAGGGTGCTTAATTGGAAAAAGATGTGACTCGAACCAAGGATACAGCCATATTCAAAGAATTGTATTTACAAAGGCTATTGTCTTTTATCTCGTATTTACAAACTCTTTACAGATTCGGACACCCTGTCTGTTAGTGTTGCCCAAAATCGTTCTTGGACTTACATTACCAAGACCAAGGCCTCCTAACTGTTGTAAGACCAACACCAAGACTGGTAAAAAAATAATGTTTTCAAAAATAAAAATTAAGGCAGTAACTAAAGTTGACAATTTTACTTGGTAGAATTGATATAACCAATATACTTTTGCATTTAACTCTTCTAATTTTTCATTCGGGCTCTGTTAGATTTGTACTATCTAAAAAAATACAGTAATATTTCTATAATAATCAACTGATAGGTAACTGCAAGACCGTTGCTTTTCCATGCGCAAGACCAAGACTGAGTTGCCATGATCAAGACTCGTCTTGGTCTCGCATTTGGGCAACACTACTGTCTGGAATCGTCTATACACGGTGGGCCAGACCCCCTTACCGTGCACCCCCCCCCCCACATCCCTATAAATTGCATATCGTTGTGTTCCTTGTAACAATTTATTAAAAAAAGCCAATGTTCCCACAAAAAAAGTGAACGCACTGCCCCAAAATGGCGTCCAAAGATGGCGGATTGATGACTTTGACTTTAGTTAGTTTTTTGTTCACTGAGAATCAGCATTTGGCTTAATTTCCTCATAGTTGGTCTTTTATTAAAGCTGAATAGTTATAGAATAATAAAACATGAAGAAATATTAAAAAATAATTGGCTTAGGCTATGAAAAACACCACTAAAGTCAATTTCTTCAACAAAAAAATTTTCAAGTTACAAATCAAGCGTCGTTTGTAATTAAACGGCCTACAATAACGCAAAACGTGCTGAAATAAACCATCTGGAGAATATATTTCTCTTTCTAAAACGCTGATTATTTTTTATAAATGTTTAAGCAGTTCCGTAGAAAATGCACTTATGCGGCAGAAAAACGGTACTGGCGTGGGTGCCTACAGGCCTCTACCACACCATTCAGTGCCCATAAATGGCTTAGTTATAGTGATATAATAGCATTTTTGGTACATTATATTGATTTTATTAACGAACAAATATTAATGCAATAATTTAATTGTAAAAAAAAAAATTTTATTTAAAAAAAAAATGTATTATTATTTTTTTTTAATTTAACCTCCTTTATTCTATACGTAGGTCGTTTAAGAAGACCTCAATTGTAAAAGTTATATAATTATAATAATAAAACTTAATTAAAAATACTTTGCTAAATATCTTGATTTTTTTTTATTTAACGTTGCAATTTAACACTGTGTTTTGTATATTTACTGATTCTTAGAGGTAATTAAACATTTTATATGCTTCTCAGGAAATGAGTCATGTTAATACCTGTTTTATAAACTAAAATAATATATACCTAATGAATAGCTATCGGGTTGTTTAGTAAAACTCACATATCATTAGTTAAAAAATTAATTTTGATTTCCTTTATTTTGTGCAGAAGTTGGGCTATATCATAAATAAATAGGAAATTTTAATATTGAATAAATTATTCTCTATGCACAAAGAAAGATAGAAAGGGTGACCTTAACTATAAACCAAAACTGATTGTTTGGATTTGATCTCAAAATGAGGAAAAACGCGTATAATACATTAAGAGAACGAGAAAGGAAGTGCCAAAACCTCGGAATAGATAAAAAGGACCAGTATCCATTATATAACTAAATGAATGTATAGTATACAGATGAACAGAAATTTCAAGATGCTGCTAAAACGGGATCAATTGCAGTTTGGATGATATTAAGTGGACGATGTAGGTTTATTATGGTGAAAACCACTTTATTTTCGATTGCTGAAAGTGCACATCGGGACTATATTAACTTTGAAGCAGAATATAGAGAGGTATATCCAGAAAGTTATAGCTCATAGCTCTCCTTCTGTTTAGTGCATTTCCAAAAGATTTTTTAAGGAATCTAAAAGGAAAACGAGCTTTTCTGAAAGACAGTTAGATATTAGCATAATCCAAAGTGTGAGGCACTAAGCAGATAGAGAGCTATTTTTATTTTTATGTGGACTTCTCTATAACCTATCTTAAAGTGAAGACAGTCCCAATTTTCAACTTCCCTTCCAATGTGCAACTTGAGTTTCTCAATCCATATCACTCTGGCAATCGACAATATTTCTTATTCCAGCTTCTACGATTCTTGAGTATAATTTGTTTGGTACACTAAACAGGAATGGATCTTGATGGGTATTACATTTCCTAGTACCTCCTTTCTTCTAAAGGTAAAAACCACAGTCCTTTCATATTATTTTCTAATATGCTTGTTGCCAATGTACGCGCAAAACTGTCTAAGCAGTTCGGTTTCGCCCTTTCCATCTTTCTTTGTGTAGAGAGAATAATACATTCAATATTAAAATTTCCTATTTTTTTATGATATGGTACAAATTCCGAACAATTTCTGAACAATAACGAGCTATAACTAATATAACATTCCTTAAAAAATCTTTTGGAAATGCACTAAACAGAAGGAGAGCTATGAGCTATAACTTTCTGGATATACCTCTCTATATTCTGCTTCAAAGTTAATATAGTCCCGATGTGCACTTTCAGCAATCGAAAATAAAGTGGTTTTCACCATAATAAACCTACATCGTCCACTTAATATCATCCAAACTGCAATTGATCCCGTTTTAGCAGCATCTTGAAATATTCTGTTCATCTGTATACTATACATTCATTTAGTTATATAATGGATACTGGTCCTTTTTATCTATTCCGAGGTTTTGGCACTTCCTTTCTCGTTCTCTTAATGTATTATACGCGTTTTTCCTCATTTTGAGATCAAATCCAAAAACATCAGTTTTGGTTTATAGTTAAGGTCACCCTTTCTATCTTTCTTTGTGCATAGAGAATAATTTATTCAATATTAAAATTTCCTATTTATTTATGATATAGCCCAACTTCTGCACAAAATAAAGGAAATCAAAATTAATTTTTTAACTAATGATATGTGAGTTTTACTAAACAACCCGATAGCTATTCATTATATATAGTTCAGATTAGGTATATATTATTTTAGTTTATAAAACAGGTATTAACATGACTCATTTCCTGAGAAGCATATAAAATTTTTAATTACCTCTAAGAATCAGTAAATATAGAAAACACAGTGTTAAATTGCAACGTTAAATAAAAAAAAATCAAGATATTTAGCAAAGTATTTTTAATTAAGTTTTATTATTATAATTATATAACTTTTACAATTGAGGTCTTCTTAAACGACCTACGTATAGAATAAAGGAGGTTAAATTAAAAAAAAATAATAATACATTTTTTTTTTTAAATAAAAATTTTTTTTTTTACAATTAAATTATTGCATTAATATTTGTTCGTTAATAAAATCAATATAATGTACCAAAAATGCTATTATATCACTATAACTAAGCCATTTATGGGCACTGAATGGTGTGGTAGAGGCCTGTAGGCACCCACGCCAGTACCGCTTTTCTGCCGCATAAGTGCATTTTCTAGGGAACTGCTTAAACATTTATAAAAAATAATCAGCGTTTTAGAAAGAGAAATATATTCTCCAGATGGTTTATTTCAGCACGTTTTGCGTTATTGTAGGCCGTTTAATTACAAACGACGCTTGATTTGTAACTTGAAAATTTTTTTTGTTGAAAAAATTGACTTTAGTGGTGTTTTTCATAGCCTAAGTCAATTATTTTTTAATATTTCTTTATGTTTTATTATTCTATAACTATTCAGCTTTAATAAAAGACCAACTATGAGGAAATTAAGCCAAATGCTGATTCTCAATGACCAAAAAACTAACTAAAGTCAAAGTCATCAATCCGCCATCTTTGGACGCCATTTTGGGGCAGTGCGTTCACTTTTTTCTTGTGGGAACATTGGCTTTTTTTTAATAAATTGTTACAAGGAACACAACGATATGCAATTTATAGGGATGTGGGGGGGTAGGGAGGTGCACGGTAAGGGGGTCTGGCCCACAGACTACTAGGGTTTGTAGTGTACATGGGGAATGTCTCATCCATTACGCGGATCCAACTCTGTCTGCCAGCTGAGGAACTAAATTAATATTTTATATAAATAAATATATATAGTATTAACATATATATATAACATGTATATATATATATATATATATATATATATATATATATATATATATATATATATATATATATATATATTTAAATTTTAATTCAATTATTTAATTGCGAATAAGGTCACTTAATAATTATTCAATAAACTACTGAATGTTCATTGCTTCTGTTTATTCGACGTTCGATGTTAATTTCGACGATCCCGTTTTTTTATAAGTTAACAATGGAATCCTCTTCAAAGTTTTAACAAAGAACCTTGACACCTCAGGCCAGGGACACACGGTGCTACTGTGAGAGCTAGCTTAATATCTGTGCTGGTTGACACTGCTGAGACTGTCGGTGTATCAATTGGACTTGAAGCTTATCAAACAAAAAAGTGTTTTTAAAAGTGGGGTAATTGTAGTACAGTTGAATAATGACAAAAAAAAAAAAAAAAAAAATCGGCAGTAATTTATGATTTTTTTATAAACGAAAAATTTAGCCGCTTAAAAGTCCTCTTTAAATTGTTTTAACAATGACTAGCTCTATTTATATATATAGACAATTTTATCTAGTTTAATGTGCAACAATCGTCAATTATTTTAATTAAATATTTTTTTAGAAAAACTTTATATTTATATATATAAATATAAAGTTTTGCTTAAAAAAATGACAACACACTCTGATTTATTTTAAATCATACCTTACGAAACATTATAAATATATCTTAATTCACTCTTAAGTTTATAATCAACCAACCCATTTATTCTGTCACTTTCCTCCTGCCTGTTAAAATAAAAAGATATTAACCGAGAGATTTTTTTATCTGAAAATCCAAAATTTAAAACAGTAATTCACCCTATTCGATAATCATAGTTATTGCATAGATGCGAAAAATCCAGAGCATGTAGCACGGAACTTTTCATCAGGAAACTTCTAAACAACAATGAATGCCTCAGTAGCAGCACGAGAAGACGAGGATAGATCGAATCAACAAAGATGCAATTGAACTGCATGCAGATAACTGGAAATAAATAGCCCAAGATATACAGAGATGGAGAAGGCTGGTTCAGATGGCAAAAGATCCACAATATTTGTAATTCTAACAGAAAAATATATATATATTTACCCTAATGTTAGTGCTAATTTCACAAATCCTTTCCTCTTGTTCAATATGATTCTATAGTGACCCGGCATTGAATGAATAACTTCTTCAGCTCCTCCGATGATTAAGGTTACAATATTTCCTTTTTGTTTATCGTTAAGGAGGTATTCAAGGCTCTGCTTGGATGCAGATATAACACCTACCAACCAAAAATGGAATAATCAATAATATAAAACTAATTAATTTTTTTATTGCTTTAAAATGTGTCTGAAAGGTCATACTAACCACACTCTAAAGCGATATCCCTCAGAAAGGGATAGAATACGTTTAAATCTTTCACTGCCAATTTGGTGTTGAATCCTGGAAAATATGCTTTGTTCGGAGCGAGTCCGAGAGAAAGGTTTATGAACGAGGCAGTGCCGAGAAGTCCGTGAGGGTGGCTGCAGAAAAGGTAGTTTCTGTTTGGATCCAAATCAGCTATTTTTACCAAACTCACTGGAAAGTAGTCTGGAAGATGTTTCCAAAATGGTAACGCTATTAATAGCCTTAAGCTGAAACGAATATTTTGTGAAAAAATTATTGATGAAATTAATTATATCTAGTAAACAAAAAAGAAATAATATCCTGTGAAATACATTTTATTAGTGCCTTTATAAATTATAATTTTAATAATTATTTACTAACTTAACATTCATATTTTTTTTTTTTTTTTATTGTATATCAAACTCTGTAAAAGCGGATTTATATATAAAATGTACGTAAAATATGTACATAATCAATCCAATTTATTGTAATATATTTCAATAGGTCTTATTATTTTCAATTATAATTTAAAAATGTTTAAAGACTTAATTTTCTTATTCTTATTAATCTAACTCTGTGAAAAAGGCAAATATATTCACCTAGAAGATGTACACAATTAATCTAATTTATTGTTACATATTTTAAAAGGTCTTTTTGTTTTTCAATTGTAATTTAAAAAATTGTTACAACAACACTTTCATATCATTAACCATGAGGAGAATATGCGATGTATGGAAGAATGCAAAGAATGGAACGGGAAGTCTGTCTCCGTCGGAGGGAGAATGGTAAGTAGGGCTATAGCGTTACTGATGGAGCAGTGACGTGCACAGAGTCTCAGAGTGGAGCAGTGACAAACTGTTCCATTCTCTTGGACCTTATAGTCTGTGGGCCAGACCCCCTTACCGTGCACCCCCCCCACATCCCTATAAATTGCATATCGTTGTGTTCCTTGTGACAATTTATTAAAAAAAGCCAATGTTCCCACAAAAAAAAGTGAACGAACTGCCCCAAAATGGCGTCCAAACATGGCGGATTGACGACTTTGACTTTAGTTAGTTTTTTTGTTACTGAGAATCAGCATATGGCTTAATTTCATTATAGTTGGTCTTTTATTAAAGCTGGATAGTCATAGAATAATAAAACATGAAAAAATATTAAAAACTAATTGGTTTAGGCATTAAAAAAATCGGTAAAGTCAATTTTTGTTACAAAAAAATTTTCAAGTTTAAAATCAAGCGTCGTTTGTAATTAAACGGTCAACAATAATGCAAAACGTGCTGAAATAAAACATCTAGAGAATACATTTCTCTTTCTAAAACACTGATTACTTTTTAAATATTTGAAGTAGTTCCGTAGAAAATGTACATAAGCGGCAGAAAAGCGCTACTGGCGTAGGTGCCTCAGGCCTCTACCACACCACTCAGTACTCATAAATGGCTTAGTTATAGTGCTATAATAACGTTTTTGTTATATTATATTGATTGTATTAACGAACAAATATTAATAAAATAATTTATTTGTCAAAAACATTTTTTTTTTAATTTATTATTATTTTTTTTATCTATTATTATATATTTTTAAAAATTTAACTTCCTTTATTCTATACGGAGGTCGCTTAAGAAGGCCTCTATTATAAAAATTATATGATTATAATAATACAACTTAATTAAAAAATACTTTGCAGAATATCTTGAATTTTTTATTTAATATTTGCAATTTAACATTTTGTTTTATATATTTCCTGATTCTTAGAGGTAATTTAAATTGTATATACTTCCCCGGAAATGAGTCATATTAATATCTGTTTTATAAACTAAAATAATATATACCTAATCTGAACTACTTTTAATGAATAGGTGATGGATTGTTTAGTAAAATTCAGATGTCGCTATAAAAAAAATCATTTTTATTTCCTTAATTTTATTCGGAAGTTGGACCATATCATAAAAAATATGAACTTTTAATATTAAATGCATTATTCCCTCTGCACAAAATAAGGATGGAAAGGGCGAAGCTATAAGTTTTTCTAAGTAACTGGAACGGATTGTTAGTATCTGGTCTCAAAATGAGGCAAAACGCGAAATTGAACCCAAAAATTGGAAAAAAATTCATTAAGCGAACGACAAAGGAAATGCCAAAATTTGGGAAAAAGAAAACAAGGATCAGTATCCGTTATATGGCTAAACGAATATATAGTAGACAAATGAACAGAATATTTCAATATGCTGCTAAAAGGGGGTCAAAATGCTTGATCAGTTTGGATGATATTAAGCAGGTTTATTATGGTGAAGACCATTTCATCAGCAAGAAAGATTTGTTCTAGGCAATTGGCAAGCAGGTCTGGAGGAAGTAAACGAGGTTTATAATGGTGTAAACCACGTTATTTTAGATTGCTATTGTAGTTGTACATTGGGACTATCTTCACTTTGAAGCAGGTTATAGAGAGGTCTACCGAGAAAGGAAAATAGCTCTCCTCCTGTTTAGTGATATTAAGCAGGTTTATTATGGTGAAGACCATTTCATCAACAAGAAAGATTTGTCCTAAGCAATTTTCAAGTCAGCTGGTCTGGACGAAGTTACCCGAAATGCTGTGCGTACAAAGGCTACGAATGTTATGAAAGGAAAATGATATGGAAGGACTTTAGTTTTGTCCCTTTACAGGAAATGAGATACTAGGAAATGTTATTCGCGATTCCTTACTGTTTATAGTACCAAAGAAAGTCTACTCAAGAATCGTAGAAGCTAAAATAAGAAATATTGTCGATTGTTTGAGCGATATGGATTGATAAACTCAAGTTGCACATTGGAACATGAGTTGCAAATTGGGACTGTCTTCACTTTAAAGTAGGTTATAGAGAAGTCCACAGAGAAAGAAAAATGGTTCTCTATCTGCTTAGTGCCTCACACTTTGGATTGATGTAATATCTACTAGTCTTTCACAAAAGCTCGTTTTCCTTTCAGATTCCTTCAAAAATCTTTTGCAATTGCACTAAACAGGAGGAGAGCTATTTTCCTTTCTCGGTAGACCTCTCTATAACCTGCTTCAAAGTGAAGATAGTCCCAATGTAAACTTCAATAGCAATCTAAAAGAACGTGGTTTACACCATTATAAACCTCGTTTACTTCCTCCAGACCTGCTTGCCAATTGCCTAGAACAAATCTTCCTTGCTGATGAAATGGTCTTCACCATAATAACCTGCTTAATATCATCCAAACTGATCAAGCATTTTGACCCCCTTTTAGCAGCATACTGAAATATTCTGTTCATTTGTCTACTATATATTCGTTTAGCCATATAACGGATACTGATCCTTGTTTTCTTTTTCCCAAATTTTGGCACTTCCTTTGTCGTTCGCTTAATGAATTTTTTTCCAATTTTTGGGTTCAATTTCGCGTTTTCCCTCATTTTGAGACCAGATACTAACAATCCGTTAAAGTTACTTAGAAAAACTTATAGCTTCGCCCTTTCCATCCTTATTTTGTGCAGAGGGAATAATGCATTTAATATTAAAAGTTCATATTTTTTATGATATGGTCCAACTTCCGAATAAAATTAAGGAAATAAAAATGATTTTTTTTATAGCGACATCTGAATTTTACTAAACAATCCATCACCTATTCATTAAAAGTAGTTCAGATTAGGTATATATTATTTTTAGTTTATAAAACAGATATTAATATGACTCATTTCCGGGGAAGTATATACAATTTAAATTACCTCTAAGAATCAGGAAAATATATAAAACAAAATGTTAAATTGCAAATATTAAATAAAAAATTCAAGATATTCTGCAAAGTATTTTTTAATTAAGTTGTATTATTATAATCATATAATTTTTATAATAGAGGCCTTCTTAAGCGACCTCCGTATAGAATAAAGGAAGTTAAATTTTTAAAAATATAATAATAGATAAAAAAATAATATAATAAATTAAAAAAAAAAATGTTTTTGACAAATAAATTATTTTATTAATATTTGTTCGTTAATACAATCAATATAATATAACAAAAACGTTTATTATAGCACTATAACTAAGCCATTTATGAGTACTGAGTGGTGTGGTAGAGGCCTGAGGCACCTACGCCAGTAGCGCTTTTCTGCCGCTTATGTACATTTTCTACGGAACTACTTCAAATATTTTAAAAAGTAATCAGTGTTTTAGAAAGAGAAATGTATTCTCTAGATGTTTTATTTCAGCACGTTTTGCATTATTGTTGACCGTTTAATTACAAACGACGCTTGATTTTAAACTTGAAAATTTTTTTGTAACAAAAATTGACTTTACCGATTTTTTTAATGCCTAAACCAATTAGTTTTTAATATTTTTTCATGTTTTATTATTCTATGACTATCCAGCTTTAATAAAAGACCAACTATAATGAAATTAAGCCATATGCTGATTCTCAGTAACAAAAAAACTAACTAAAGTCAAAGTCGTCAATCCGCCATGTTTGGACGCCATTTTGGGGCAGTTCGTTCACTTTTTTTTGTGGGAACATTGGCTTTTTTTTAATAAATTGTCACAAGGAACACAACGATATGCAATTTATAGGGATGTGGGGGGGGGGGGGGTGCACGGTAAGGGGGTCTGGCCCACCGTGTATTACCGGTCCAGTGATAGTGATAGTGAAAACAATTTCTTATCTATTCACTTACTTAATTTATGAAAATATTAATATATTATATATCAACCAACAGTCTTCTTATCCATTAATTAATTGATATGTCATTGGTTTATAGCAAAAAGAAATTTCATTACTTTAAATAATTAATCCGTTTATGGAATAAAAAAAAAAAGCGCTTGTTATAGCTGTATTCGATATATAAAAGGGTTTGTGTCATTTCCATGCATCATGCGAAAAATTAACTCAAAATTAACAAAAAGCATGTTTGAAATTGTTTTTTTTTATTTTTCTCGCCTCTACCCTAAAGGGTCATTGGCGTTTTCTACATAATTTATTCTCTATTATAGTAGTTGATAATCTTTAAAAATTTAAACATCATAGAGACTCTCTCTTCATTGTCTTGTAGTATTTCGTTTAGTGTTTTAAGTAGTTCTATTTTTTCTCTGTGCCTTTTGAATTGGGAACATTCTACTAGAAGGTGTTTCACAGTTTGCGGTGTATTATTACATTTTTCGCAAGTACGAGCTTCTAGGCCTCTTAAAAGATAGCTATGAGTGAACTGGCAGTGCCCAATCCTAAGGCGGCACAGTATAATTTCTTCACGCCTGGACCTTCTGTTGCTAGTGAGCATTTATCGCAAGTGGTTTCACTTCTTTCAGCTTAACTCTTTGATCCTCCACTCTTTTTCCCACTCTGCCAGTTGTTTTTTCTTTATTTCGTGTACCCAGTCTTCTAAGTGATATATTTCACTCTAGTCACTTCTCTTCTCTCCTCCACTTCTTGCTAAATGGGCTGCATTGTCAGCTTTTTCATTCCCTAAAATTCCGCAATGAGCTGGTACCCAGACCAAGACAACTGTTATTCCTTTATTTGTTACCTCCAACCAGGTGTTGAGAATTTCTCTAATTATGGAGTTTCTAGGATATGGGTTATCAATGGCAGTTAAAACACTGTATGAGTCCGTCACAACTACCCAGTAGTTCTTTTCAGATTCGCTTATAAGATATAAAGCATTCGTGATGGCAATGGCCTCTCCTGTGATTTTTTTAGTAGGTTTGAAATTTAACCTATATCAAAAATGCACTAATTTGCATGTATGCATGTTGGATATTTGCAATAAACCTCCTAAATATATAAGTATACATAAATCATATTTGCGAATATGAAAACAACAATGATTTATTTTGTTGAATCTCAATACACACAGAAAATATATAGTATTAACAGTCGAAACAATAGAATTTTTAATTTGAATTAAAATTTGATCAGTGTTTGCTCGTTATTTATTAATTTTCGTAATAGATTCATTCCATTTTTTTAACTATTTGTTACTTGACAATTGAGAAAACCCCTTTTACTCTGGCCTCTAAATGACCCTTGGATACTACCAATCCTATACGACAGTAAATTACTTTCTTCTTATTACTATTAGTCACCTAATAGTACTACTACTAATCATAGGCCCCGCCTTCTTAGGAGTGTATCCTCCAATAAAAATACAAAAGGGTGAGATTAACGTTTTATCATTCCCCATTACATCGAAGAACAAAAATAAAGTCAAAATCAATAATAGTTAATCTACATCAATGGATAAAATATGTAAACTAAAATCAATTAAAACAATAGGAAAAGTAGATTAGATGGCTAAGCTAAAGTCTAAAAGTAGCTACGCAAATATTTTACCACGCCCAATATTTCGATTATTGAAATTTATTATTTATTTATTAATATGATATTTACAACTGTATACAAAAAATACATCTGGTAAACTTGCACATGGATATAATGACACTTTCTTAACAGTTTCTTAACACATGTTAAGAAACTACCCATTGGTAGCACTCTCATTGAAATTTAAGTTTGTATTCAAAGATATTTATACGTAGTAACATATCCTAGGATTTTATGATTCATTCATGTCCTTTCATTCACATCAAAATTTTAGCACATTTCCCATCGCAAATTCGAAGATCGCATAATTGAGAGTACGTCTCACTGCCTCAAACGTTTAAACGAAGATAAAAACATGTAATATATTCAATTGCTTTGTTAAAATATTTTCAAATATATGCTAAGTAAAAAAAAAAAAAAAAAAACGCTGCAAATTATTTCACAATGGTTTATTATTTCTAAACAATTATACATCTAAAGTAACATTACATTCCTAATTACAAAGAAAAATCAATAAAAAGTGATTCCCATTATTAGACTGAACTTTTTGTGTAATCATTAGTAATATGTTTTAAAAAAAATAGCATTACCAGTAACACATTCGAAATTCAAAACCAAAACAAAGGATAAAATCTTTTTAGTAGAACATATAAAAAAAAAAAAAACTAGAGACCGTATCTTTTTTCCTAATTATCTGATTTTAACTATTTTTTTTTTGTTTTTTTAGGAAATTTCGTAAATTTTTAAAAAACTATTCATTATTGACAATAATAAACCAAAAATATTTTAAAATCGCTATATCTCTACTAATAGTACTTTGATTTCGATGAAATTTTCTTCATTTTTTAGGAAATTTAAATACATTTGAAACATCTTATTACAACATCGACAAAAAAGTGTATACTTTTTGAGTAATTCGGAATTTAATTTTACCATCACTAGTTTTTTTTTTCAGCTTCTTTTCGTAGATAAATTTAAAGGGCGTCGAGAAAATGACTTTAGCGAAGTTTCATTAAAATAGGTAGATTCGATTAGGAACATCGTTTAAGCAACAAAAGCAGGTTTTTCGGCCGCCATTTTAAAAGTAACCTCTGATTTTATATCCAAATTTGAAAAAAATCGGTCCAGTAGTTTCGGAGAAAATACGCGGATGGCGGACGGACAAAAAAGTCTTATTTTCTTATTTTTCTTTTTTTAGGAAGCCTACATTTATATATTTTTTCATAGTTAAGGCAAAAAAACTTCCAATTTCCTTCAAATCTCTTTATTCACATTTATTATCTCTAGCGTGCTCTGATGATGGGAAAATTGTCCCGAAACGTTAGATATAATAAATGTGAATAAAGGGATTTGAAGATGTAATAAATGTGAATAAAGGGATTTGAAGGAAATTGGAAGTTTTTTAACCTTAACTACGAAAAAAGTTTTATTCGTTTTTCGAATTCTACGTATCCTGAAACGTAAAACGTCAAATTTTGAGAGAGGGTTAAGTTTTTGAATTTTTGGTCGATCACAATGGTCCATTATTGAAAATAATAATCCAAAAATCTGGTGCACGCAACACACAACTTTCACTTACCGCTCTACTTTCAATAGGAATTATTTTCTGGTAATGTTGGACTATTATGAAATTTTTGAACAGCATTTTAAACGGAGCTAAAGCTTAAAGCTTACAGATAAAAACCATTAAGACCATTACAATAACAAAAACTCTATTTATTATATCGACGGTAGACAATAAAAATCTAGTTACTCCATCTGTTTCCGTGAACCATATAACTTCAGCCTCTGAGCTATGTGTACCTATCAGATGATAAAAAGACTAACTCTAATTTTAACATTTTTCAGCAAAACCATTTCAGTGATATTTCTTGTTGGAGAAGTTATATCTAAACATACAGTGAGTAAGTTGATTCAGAGTAGATGATTGCAGTGTCGAAATATAGAACTGTGAATAAAGGTGTGAATTTTTCACTAGAGCCATCACTAAAATTAATAATAAAGAATGTTGAAATTGGAGTTAGTCATTCTTTCAATTGAAAAGCTCATGTATGATTAAAGATCCCTATAAATGATTATGGATTGTAGGATTATAAGTTATCAAACTGTTATTTTTCATTGTAAAGTTTAATGAAACTTAACGTAAAATGAAATTACGAGATTTTCTTTGCCTGCCACAGCAGGCTTGATAGGCCAGAAGATATCACACTAATTGTAATTGGATATTGTTGAGATATCACGAAGGAAAATTCATCAAATTATTCATTAATTTAATTTTCTAAAAGGTTACTCGATGGTTTTTTGGAAAAAAAACTATCAACAGATACCTATTATTTAAATATATCATCTTTAGAGTAATTAAACTCTTCACAAAATATATTTAAGGTTATAAACATATCCATGAAATAATTTTATATTTTACTTCTTCTTTTATACAAGTACAATGAATAGTATTTTAAAAAAAATGACATTGACTTGATTCGGCATGTTTAAATACTTTTCTTTTCAAACTTAGAAAAACATTTAAAAGTTTACGTTTAGTAAGAAAATTTTATTTAATTTCCTAGGAAACATGTGGTTTTCGTTAAATAATATTAGTTTTCAAAAATTATTTATATTTTTTTTCGCCACTCTCCGTTACCTTCTAGAACTTCATTCATTTCGTATATTATTTTTTCTAAAGTTCTCCGATTTAAAAAAGTATATTATACGTTTAGCTTCTGTCTATTATTTTCGGAGATTCATTTTCGAACTGGATAAGCATTTTTCCTTTTTTCTCCAGTTTCTAATTATCGTATTCTTTCAAATTTCATATTTAGTCATTTTTTATTGTTATTGTCAATAAAGGAGAGTTTTTTTAATTAAACATATTAAAGGTACTTTAGAGGAAGATGTATATGAACATTAGGTATTTAAGCCCAGTAAAGTGACATCAATGAGCATAAGACCTAAAATAGTATTAAATTAATACAAACATAATAGTTTTATAATTAAAATAGTATTAAATAACACTTAATTATACAATGATACACCGAGTTTAATCAAATTCGTTCGAGCCGTTTTTGAGAAAATTGTAAAAATACGTTTCACCGTTGATATAAAGTGGCACTTCCGGTTAGTATATTTTAAGGAAAATGTGGCTGTAACATCTAAGTCATAAATTTCTTAAATATGTAATATCGGTTTTGTACGACTTTTCGTTTTTGAGCTTGACTGTTCACAGACACACACACCTTTTTGCCGAACTTGATTATTTGGACTTAGGGGACCTCAAAACGTGTATTTTCGTTAAAAACTCAGATTCGAAAATTTTCACGATTGCAATACTTTCCCTTACATATAGGTGAGTGAAAGTAAAAAAACTAATATATAAATACAATACATACATATATATATAATTATATCGTTCATTCTACAATAATTATGTTAATTATCACTCGTAATTTTTACACAATATTAACAACCGAGACTCTTTTGGGGGATTCATCGTCCTCCCCCTCTAACCAAAATGAAGAGTATTCACCTATGCTCCTACTACTAATCTAATTACTACTAACTATATTTAAAATAGAACTAATAATTGAAATGTTTATAAACTGAAAAATCTTACCTCCTTCCTCCTTTAAACGGAGTTTCCCTGTCATACCATGTCCACAAAATCGAAAGTAATACAATTGGCCAATACGTTGTGAATAAGGTCAAGTAAAAAATAAAGAAGATCATTGTAACGTAAAGATTCTGGAGGCAGCCCAATTGTAATGCAGCTATTACTTGAAGGCATGCCTCAACAAACGTAAATTTGTCTGTCATTCTGCAGAAAAGATAAAACGAAAATTGAATCACAGCTAGTTAAAATAGTATTAGTCCAGTTCTCTAACGCGAGAGTGATTCTACAGCTTATTATCACAGCATGTTAAAGATCTGTATAATGTAATTGTTGATATTGTCTTCATAAATAACAACAGTTTTCGTGTAATAATTAAGGATAATGATTCTCATATTGATTGTGAGTTTTAATTTCTTGAACAATAATTAAACTAAAAAAAAATCTATAAAAAACCCAAGATAACAATGGCTATTTAAATTTACATTCTCGCTACCGAAGGTGGGAAACTGTTTATGCGTGAGGTTAAAAAAAAAAAAGAAGTGAAGTAAGACTATTTAAGCTAAAAATAATGAAAAAATTCTGAAGCATTTTTATTTTATATCTTTGGTTCTAATTTGTTTACGGAGGGTGAGTTTGTGTATAACAAGATTACTTTTATTTATTTACGTATATTTTTTATTATTTATATTCGTTTCCTGTTGTTTGTTTTGTTTTTTGTATATACTGTATGAATGAACTCTTGTAGCATTAATAATTGTTGCCCTTCATGAGGCAGATTGTATTATAATTAAAAAAAAAAAATTGTTTTTGGAGTTGGGATTTGTACCATTTCGGGTAGCATATAGAGCCCTAAATCCCTAATTTTCGTGTGAATCGGCGGAATACCCTACGGTAGGGTCCGTAGGGTCCGGACGGACCCTACCGTAGGGTGAACGCACCAGTTATGGACAAATTGGACTTTAAATGTAAATAATATGTTTTCTTGTTGATTTAAAGGATCCAGCTTTTTCTAGATTGAAGAACAACGCCCTCTATTGACATCTATATGAATAAAGTTTCCAAAAGAAAATTTTAGAATGCCTATCATTGTTGTTTCTGTTATGCTTTTGAGAGTAGTGTGTTTCATACGGTTCTACTAACAATTTTGCTAAGAGTACGTTAAACATTTATCTTATCTAATCTTTATTGTTAATTTTAGAGTTAAATAAATATTATAGAATTTTTCTGAGGTATGTCCGGTACAGGTACCGACCCCCGGTCCATTACAAGAACAAATGAATTTCGTTGTGCCCATCACTAGTGCAATAAGGTGTTTTTTTTTTTTTTAAATGGAGATTATACCTGCATAATTGAATTTTTTTTTTCAATTTTAAAGTCCATACCGAGACCATACCGAGTGGTGTTGAGAGGACTACACTCAAGCACCCCAATATCTTTCATCAAAAGTGGCCTAGAAGAAATAGGTCACAATGTTAGGCACATATCATGCGTACTACACCCAACGGAAAAATATCCTTTAGCACTATTTTTCGTCGATTTTGAGCCAGCCAGCAATAACATCGAAATTTTTCAAGTGAAGAGGCTTATATATTCCACCATTAAATTTGAAGAGCCTAGACAAAAGCCTATAATAGTGCAATGCACTAAGTGCCAAGACTTGGGGCATACAAAGACTTATTGCCATCACCAGGCCAGGTGCGTGAAATGTGCCGGCCCACACGCAGCAGACACTTGTCAGAGACCTCGAGACCTGCCTGCGAAATGTGCCCTTTGTGGTGAAGAACATCCAGCAAACTACAAAGGATGCAAAGTTTATAAACATTTTTATAAGCAGAGAACTCAAAACATAGCCTCGAAAAGCGTAAAACTGACCCAAGAAAGTTTTACCCATCTACCTGAAATTGATAATCCATCAGATTTTCCAGAATTGCCAAAAACGACTACTCAAAATACACAGCTAGCGTCTACTTCAAAAGAAATTGATCAACCTCAGCAGGACTTCAACCTCAGCAAAAAAAACACCAATCACTACGAAGAAGCAGCAGCCTCGAATTCAGGCGCCTCAAATCTCCCAATGCAAACCTCAACCTCACAATCCCCAATCTCATCCTCCACGTCAGCAAACTCTCCCTCATCATATACCCTTACGAGTCAAATTACCGCCGCAGCATCCTCAACAGTCCCATCCTAACGCCCAGAAAAGAAGTGCAGCACAGGTACCTTGCAATCTAGAACCACCTCGTGCACAACGACGGATCCCGCCCTCAGCTAATATTCCTAATCCACCACAAGAACCTATCCTGAATCCAATTCACAATCAACATCCATCTGATATAACCTCCATTCTTTCATCCTTCCTCCTCCAAAATACCATAAAACCACTTATCACTCTTCTCACCAGAATCCTGACCGCAATTCCATTCAATTTCCCACGATGAGCACAAAGCCCCTAACTATCCTTTTATGGAATGCTAACGGACTAAATAACCACCGTGACGAACTTGACTTATTTCTTCATAATAATAACATTGACATTGCTTTACTGACTGAAACTCACTTCACTAAACGAATACATTTCTACATACGTGACTACTTCACTTATAGAACTGATCACCCAGATAACACCTCCCATGCCGGTTCTTGCATCCTTATACATAAATCATTACCCCATTCCCTTATTCCTTCAACTCCAACTGATGCCATTCAATCAACTTCTGTAGTCCTTTCAACTCGCCCTTTCCATCTCACATTCTCAGCTGTATACTGTCCTCCTGGTAATTCCCTCTCCTATAACCTCCTTGATACCTTATTCCAATCCCTCGGATCGCGCTTTATTGCTGGAGGAGACCACAATGCTAAACACCAACGATGGGGTTGTCGAACATCCAACCCCCGCGGTAACATCCTATCTCGTGTTTCAACTTCCAACAATTATTCAATCCTTTCGCCCATGAGTCCTACTTATTGGCCAACATCCCTCAAAAAACGTCCCGATATCCTAGATATATTTATAACTTCCCAGATCTCCTCCTCACAAACCATAATCAAATCCCTTGATGACCTTTCTTCAGACCATAGTCCAGTTCTGCTTTCACTACATTCGAGCTATGCTCCTAAACCATCAACTCCTAAATTGATTACAGGACGAGTAAACTGGGACGAATTTCGTGATGATTTGGAAAACAAACTAGACTTAAAAATTCCGCTAAAGACAAAAGACGACATTAATGGTGCCATTGAAAAACTGACAGCGTCAATAACAGACAGTATAAATAATAATACTTTTATCAATAAGTTTAACAATTCAAAAAAGACTGACTTGCCACAGCATATTCGTATCTTATTGAAGGAAAAACGCAGAGCAAGATCGAAGTGGCATAGAACCAGGTATCCAACAGATAAAACTCATTATACCCAACTGACTAACAAACTAAAATCTGAAATTAAAAAATACAAAATTCAAAATTTACTAAATTTTACTGAAAAACTTACACCTACCGACAAATCACTATGGACGACCACTAAAAGGCTCCTGAAATTTAAAGACTGTAATCATCCGCTTCTTACTGAAGCTCAAACCTGGTCCAAATCCGATGAAGAAAAATCACAAATCTTTGCTCGTCACCTCTTTAAAACCTTTAATCCACACCCCGATATTCTTAACCCAAATCACCTTGAATGTATTGAGGCAGAGCTGGATATCCCACTCCAAATGTCTCTTCCACCTAAAGCCTTTCATCCTTCAGAAATATCCGACATCATTCAAAGGTTACCTTCCCGAAAAGCTCCTGGACACGACCTAATTACATCCCAGATCCTAGAACTCCTTCCTCGGAAAGCCATTCTATTCCTTACTTATATATATAATGCTGTACTGCGATCAACATACTTTCCTGACCCTTGGAAATTCTCTATTATCAAAATGATACATAAACCCAAAAAGCCACCAGAAAACCCATCCTCTTATCGCCGTATCTCCCTTTTACCCATCCTAGGCAAAGTCCTGGAAAAGCTCATCCTTAAACGCCTGTACCCCATCCTAGATTCTAATCACATTATCCCTGATCATCAATTTGGATTCCGCAGATCCCATTCCACTATCCAGCAATGCCATCGTGTGGTGGATGTTGTCTCCTCTGCATTGGAGCGCGGAATGTACTGCACGGGAGTCTTTCTCGATGTAGAACAGGCTTTTGATCGAGTCTGGCACCCAGGACTGCTTTACAAACTCCGTAAATTCCTATACCCTACATACTTCCTCATTATCCGTTCCTATCTTACTGATAGATCCTTCAAAGTAAATCATAATAATGCCTATTCATCCCTTTTTTCCCAGTCCGCTGGTGTTCCTCAAGGTAGTATCCTAGGTCCTATCCTTTACACAGTTTATACAGCCGATATCCCAACCCATCCTAACACAGTCATTACCACGTACGCCGATGATACATGTGTCCTATCAGTTAATAACGACCCAACAATTGCATCCCAAACCCTTCAATCACACATCACAAACCTTGAAGAATGGTGTCAAAACTGGAGAATAAAAATAAATTCCAATAAATCCCATCAAATCACCTTTACCCTTCGTCGTAAACCTATGTCCTCTTGTCCTACAGTATTCTTTAATAATACCCCACTTATTCCTGTTGAACAAATTCGATACCTTGGACTCCACTTAGACAAACGTCTAACTTGGAATCCTCATACCAGACTGAAACGACAAGAAACAGCTCGACGTTTCCGACTACTCCAGCACTTACTAGATAAACGCTCTAACCTCCCAGTCAATTACAAAAGACTCATATACATGACTACAATACATGACTTACGGAGTTGAGCTCTGGGGCTCCACTAAGCCATCGAATTCCTCTCGTATTCAATCCTTACAGTCCAAAATCCTTCGTAAAATCCTCACTGCTCCTTACTTTGTCACAAACAAAATCATCCATAACGACCTTAATGTTCCTTATGTTTCTGACTTGGCCCAATCCAGATACCTATCCTTCCATAACAAACTTCAGAACCATCCAAACCCTCTCGTTTCTAACCTTGCTTCCTCTTCGATCCCTGACAACCCTCAGAGGCGTCTGAAAAGAAGATGGCCTCGAGATCTCCTTTTGTAAATACATTTTTAGAGTGCTACCAATGGGTAGTTTCTCAACATGTGATTTCATGCTATTTTATTCCTTTGTTCACATTTACTGAATGTATTTTTACTTGTAATACAATTGTAAATATCACCAATAAAAAAAAAAAAAAAAATTTAAAGTTGTTTCTAAATAAAAAGTACCGAAAAAAGGATTGGATCTGGGTGGGACAACAGCCGTGCTTGGCTATGCGGATGATCTGGTTCTGTTAATCGAAGAAACGGAAACTATAAAACTAAATGCGACAACGTTAATGAAAGCTGGTAAAGAACTAGGGTTCGAAATAAACATGAATAAGACAAAATATATGGCTAGCTGCAAAAATGGCGATACGATATAGAATGTTTAATGTTTGAACAGGTAGAGAAGTTTAGGTATCTAGGATCTACTATAACTAGAAAAAACGAAATTGAAGAGGAGATTAAGGTTAGACTGAAGGCGGGAAATGCTTGTTACTTTTCTGTGACAAAACTGCTTAGATCGCGCATGTTGTCCCTGAACCTAAAAATTAGAATCTATAAAACCATTATCTTGCCCACAGTTCTTTATGGATGCGAAACGTGGCCACTTACACTAAGGGATGAGCAACGTCTTAAGGTTTTTAAAAATAAAGTATTGCGTATTAAATATTCGTACCGAAGAAGGATGAGTTAACCGGAGAGTTCAGACAGTTACACAACGCCGAAATGCCTGAACTGTGTCCGGTTAATATAATTAAGGGGATTACATCGCTGAGAATCAAATAGGCTTGTAAAATTGTTGGGCTTAGTAACGAAAGAATTCCTAAAAGGTTAATATTTGCTGTACCGAATAGTAAACGTCCGAGGACTAGACCGAAGCGAATGTGCGAAGATTGCGTTCAAGATGATCTTAAGGGACTGGGTTTGGACGGCGAACGGTGGAGGGAGGTGTGTAATAAGCGATTGGTGGTGTCGGCATCGAACCTTTGGGTTCGCTAAGCCTTTTATTATTATTCTTAATAGATTCTAAACTTCAAACGGAGAAGCTATGCCCACCACTAGTGCGCTTACCCAAAAATTTACAGGCTTACAGCTTAAGCAAAAATTTCGTGAAAATGTTTTCAATTACTATAAAAATTCGTATGTAAGGGTTTCTAAGGTGCAAAAACGAATATCATCTATTACCTAACAAAATATTTACACTCTTATTTTTAGGTATTTTTTTTTTAAATTGTTCCCTTATTGTAGCTATCCTCCAATTATAATATTTGTTCTAACCCGGCCTTGTTTCTAAAGTAAACACTTTTTGACCCTTCGGAATTTCGATGATAACCATATAGATTGTGATAACTTCAGGATGACTTCACTTATTCACACGAAAACTTTTAGGGATTTAGGGCACCATATGCTGCAGGAAATGGCACAAACCCATCCTCTGTAAACAAATTAGAAACAAAGACATACAATAAAAATGGTTGATCTCCTTATTTTGGCTCTAAAGGTTATTTATTTGGGCCAGAAGAGCAGTAAATTCAAATATCCAATGGTTGTACTAACGTTGAATTTGAAAATAATTAATTACTGCAATTTGCAATTTTTGATTTTTTCAAAAATTCTTATTTAAGAACTTTAAAGGACAATAAAAATTAATCTAGTTCTCTTTTTAATAACAAAAACTTTCATGGCCTACTTTACTTGAAGCGCCTTTTGATTTTTTAATTTATGATGCATTATAACTCATTTAATACCATACTCAACATTTTTTATATTGTACAAAAAATAAAAATCTATTGAAATATAATAATCTGAAAACCGGACAAAACAAAGGCAAAAATAAATTACATTAATTTTCTAGTCACATCCTTCAGGTTTGATGCCTTTTTCTCATAATTTTTTTTATTTTTTTAGATATTTTTTTTATTTTTATATTTTTTTTTATAAAAAAATAAATAATTATACATTAATTTAGTTTAAAATTAAGTAAAATATTTTTTTCTCGGCTCCTTGGGTCCATTGGAAAGAACATGCTGGTATTGTCCCTACTATTAGTACAAAGTGTCATATGTAACGGTTTTCTTTGTTTATTTTATTTGTGATAAAGGAGAAATTTTGTTGTCTGTAACTTCAATCAGTGATCTGCTACCATGGAAAATAGTATAGAGAAATAAATTATGAAATAATAATAATAATAATAAATCATAAACCAATAATTAGGACACCATAAGCTACAGGAAATGGCACTAACCAACCCTCCATAAACAAACTAGAAAGAAAGGCATAAAAATAATTATTAGTTTTTATGTTTTTTGTAAAAAAACTCAATTTTTACATACGAAGTTTTGCACTAACAGTAGCAATGCGTCTAATATTATTCGATGTAGTATCACTGAAAAAAAATTTGGTTGAAATCTGTGACTCAGTGACTGTAAACTCACCTTAGTAGTATAATTAGATACTATTATTGTCATAAATTCAGGGATACAAGTAAGTTCATTTTTTTTTCATTTTAAAAATAACTTTTTCCAATTTATAGACGATATGATTTACATTTTTAACATAACTTAATTTTATTCAACAAAACAACTTTTGTAAACAATTTTTTCTTAGCTTGGATATTAAATGAAACTGGACTAGAATAATGATCTAAGTGCTAACCAAAATAATTGTGTTTATAAGTTTATGCAAGCTTAACACTTTTCCCAACAGCCTAAGTGACAGAATCATTAATATTGATTTTCTCTGTAAATTATTTTGTCATTTAGCTCACTTTATAGGATATTATTTTTTTTTAGCTTTATTTTTACATCCAATCTAATACATCATTGAAAATAAGTGGATTGTCTGGTCTCGCAAGATATAGGCTATTTAAAATTACATTTAGCTTACCTAAATATGTCTAAATCGATTACTTGTTGATTAGTCTTCAAATAAAGATTAAAATGGATTAGAATAAAATTGAATTTCATTGACTGTTGAATTATTCAATTACAAAAATACTGAAATACAATCAAATATAACATATTTTGCAACAATTCAATATACACTAACTGTTGTTTAAGTTGAGTCTCAACTAATTATACGCTTCAGTTCCTCCACTAATTTCTGTTATGCATGGGCCTGTTTTGGCCTCTTGTATGAAATAAAAAAAAATATTATCAGAAATAAAACAATGAAGTAAATCAGGTCAACATGATAACAAAGGCATTGATTCTTTGATTTAGACTTAATGCGCCAATAATTTAATACTAAATAATTTAATTATCAATAAAATTTTAACCTTCGGTTTTAAGGCTGTCGAGAGGGGTGATCCTAGGATATGTTGATATATATCATTATCTTTGAACATATATGACAATTTAAATATGTAGTAACAACAAAGTAACATTTAGATATCAATAAAAGAGTTACATACATATTGCTAGGGGCTCTATCTTAGACAGCTAGTCGACTTTTCTTAATAGATTTTAGTTTACACATTTTATTCATTCAAATAGCTTAGTTATTATTGATTTTAATTTTATTAACTCAAATTATTAGGAAGGAGGATGATATTTTCGTTCCCTCAATATTTTTATTGAGAGGCCGATCACCAAAATATTTGTTATTTATAGGTAGAAAATTATCATAAATTAGTATCTGAAATATTTAAAACTTATTACCCATATCTAGATATGACATAATGGTCTGAGAAAGGAAATTATATACTATAGTAGGAAGGTATACTTTGGTACATTTCAATCAATATTTAGAGAATAAGGAAATAGAATTCTTCAATTTTTCTTATTCCCAAAGATTAGAAGCTTTAGCAATTTGGTAACTGTCCGCTCTTTGACTTCTCACATTTCTCATTCTCATCAAATTGAAAAACATTTGTCAGTCTGTTGTAAGGTCTGAGAGGATTAGCTACCACCCTTACTTCTGAAACCCTAAAAACTTGACATGTCTTTTTCCTTTTGGTAACTATTGGGCTGTGATGAAGTCACCCTTTATTTATTGTCCAATCTGTGTCCATTTCTGGCGAAATTTTGACTTCTTCCATGTATTGCTGTTCATGGCCTTCTTCAATGTTCTTCTATTTATGCCCTTATATATCCTCTTGTTCATGTCCTTGTTTCTTGCCCTTCTGTTCATGTTCAACTTTCTGTTTGTATAATACACTTTGTGTCAGTAATTGGAGAAACTTATCATTTTGAGGTACAATTATTGACACCCCTAATACCTATTGTTTTAATCGAAATTCACATTTGAAAATGATATCACATCATCAGGAAGTGGTAACAAAATTGAATTGAACCTCATAAACATTAAAGACATTTATTAAACATTGATAAAATGGTAAGTGAAAACTACGGGGGAATAATCCTTTTAAATATTGTATATAAAATTGTATGCAACCTGGCACAAAGACTAAAAATGTATTCAGAAATAATCATAATAATTACCAATGTGGTTTTCGGCTTAACAGAGGTACTAGCGATCAAATTTTAATTTTACGACAAGTGCTTGAAAAGTGTTATGAGCATGATATTGATGTGCATATACTGTTTATAGATTTTAAACAAGCCTTTGACCGTATTAAAAGAACCCAACTTTTTAGTGCATTGGGTGAATATAATATCCCGTATAAACTAATCCACTTAATTGAAATGACTATGCTGAACATTCAAGCTAAAGTATTAATTGGCAATCAGGTTAGCGAAATCTTCCAATTTAATTCTGGAGTAAGGCAGGGAGATGCACTCTCAGAAATTGTATTTAACTTGGTGCCACATAATGCAGTGAAAGGGATCATGCCAGGTGGTAAGTTAGCATGCTGAACTAGACAAATATTAGGATATGCTGATGACATTGCAATTATAGGTAGAAGCAAAGCGGCAATAGTTGAGGTTCTATTGACATTTGTTGTAGAATGTAAGAAGATTTGATTAATAGTCAACGACATCAAAGCAAAGTATATGATAGTATCGACTTCGGATTCAAGAATTTTGTTTTCCAGGAATACTTTTTTGAAGCAGTAGAAAGTTTCACATATCTTGGGGTGCAAGTCAATATCAAAATCTTGATTAACCCGAAAATAAGAGGAATAATCATGGCAGGCAATAGAGCATACTTTGGTATGTTAAAGCTTTTTAAATCGAACTCCTATCCAGAGTCACAAAACTCAAAATCTACAAATCCTTCGGTCAATCAATGGGTTCACTAAGCCTCCTATTATTATAAAGGAAAAATATATTTGTGTAGATGTCAGTGAAAGAAGAGGATAGAATTCGATAAAATTAATATGATATCATCTCGAAGTTAATTGTAACGGACTTGAAACAGTTAAAAAAAAAAGGAATAGATTCACGAAATGAAACGCATGAAGTCGGAATCAAGACTGGTTTATTGTTCTGTCTAATCTTCTATATATACATTCTGAGAATGTTTACATCAGTGCTTTTGGTATTAATGCTAATACTGTCCCGCTCCGTACCTTAACGTAGATAACAACATGTACAACTTGTTTGTGTACACATGTACAAATAGATACTTGCATTTACATTCTGAAAGTTATATATAAAATTATTGGTCTGCCACCTTTCAATCATAAGATTTATTTTTTTCTTCAGCAATCCAAAGGTTGTCTCCGAATTTCATCCAAAATTAATACAGCTATATCTCATGATGAAGTCCATTTGTTACTTGTCAGTATCTTTATGTTGTGTGGTCAACTTACTACTTAATAAAGATTTTGGCATACAAAATTAAAACTGATTTTGAATTGAGTTTATAAAATTTTTTTTCTCATATAGTTTATTGATTTAACATTTTGGTGCCCAGTATCACTACATTTTTCTTGTGTAACATTTACTACTGACATTTAACTAAACTTCTGAAAGAAGAAACAAAAATCAATTTATTTTGTATTTAATATAAGCTAGAGAACAAATACTATTAAAAATTAATAAATAAGTATGTATATATATATATATATATATATATATATATATATATATATATATATGTTATGGCCACTATAAGAAATAATTTTAAGTGCACCAAATAGTGCATAACAGTAGCGTCATCTATTGGCTATCATAGCAGTGCCATCTATTGGCAAAGAGGAACAACCGAGCCCTACCTGGAGATGTGTGACCAGAGGAGTCAAAATACAATTCAGCGACATGCCAATCTGAGTCTGACTGAGTTCAAAAAATGGCCAAGCATACTCAAGATGCCTAGTTAGACCAATACAAAAAGAAGTGGCCAAGAAAAGACACCATGGATGTCAGAGATGCCAAAACATGACACAACATTCAGAGCTGTCAACAGGTCAGACTATATTACTCGACACAGATGTATTTGTAGAAGCCAGTTCCTCGATGGGAGAATTCAACATCATCGTTCCATCTGCCAGAATCTACATGGTCAGTCTATTATTAACAAATAGATACTAACAAATTAATCACAAAGTATATTTTGGTACCCCCATCAATAAATCTGTTGATTTCAAATCTATTTTATTAAGGAATAAATATTTTATGTTAACTATATTTTGGTCATTTTACATTCCACATGAAAACCCCCTTCTGATCTATCTATTTAGCATCTAGGTTTGATCCCCCCATTTCAGGATTAGGGAAGGCCTGTTGTCCCAAAGGGCTCGACTATGGAGCTACGGGTAGCCTGCTGCTGCACGATGGAGATCATGGTTCATAGAGCTATCTATGCTCTTGCAAGTAATATATGTTTGTAAGGAAACCATATCTCTGGGTCAAAGATCTTCATGGTCTGTAATACTAATCGAAAAAATAAAATAAATGTATATATATAACGAATTACATACAAACATATGAACTATAACTAAAAGGGTTTTAAATTAGTCAAGTCACAACTGTTTAAATGTCTGTTAATTTTAAGTAGAATGAATAATCACGATATCATTCTTCGACAACCAAATGGACATTTTCTGAATCTTTGACATATTTGTGTTTCTCCTCTTCAAATAGTTTCATCAGTTCCTCAGTGTATAATGTATGGTAGTAGTCAATCTGTTCTTGAGTAGGTTCTTCGATTTTTGGTATTTCGACGGGCTTTCCAACTGAAAAATAATTATTACAATAGCTTTTTTATATTACCTTCATTGCCTTAATATTGTCAATATAACAAATATGATTCAAGTAAAATAAAAAATATATAAGAAGAACATTTTCTTTTATTTAAAGGTTAAAATACTTACTATGTTGAATGATAATAAAGTAGAAAGAGTGGAACATCCTAAGGAATGGAAATGTACGATTAAGAGGGTCAGGAAGAGTTCTACTGTTGCTAAAAAGAAATTGAAAGAAGGATGTACTCTACTTCTTGAAGCCAAGCTGATACAGGAGAATCTCCATCTATACATGGTCAAACATGAAAATAAGTCTGTAAGCAGTGTTAGGGACCATATTAGCAGCAAGATTCAATGTCTTATTAAGACATTGTTGAGACCTTGGAAGACGGAGATAGTCAAAACAGTTATAACCATGTACTTTCCCTTGTCCAAAGAGCAATAAATGAAACTTCGTCATCGGAGAAGGTGCATGACATGTTAACAAAAATTATCATTGGGACTTCTATGCCAAAGGTTTTGGAGGCTCTTTCCAGTTTTGCATCTCAACAGCTGCACCTAAAGCAGGATACTCTTGAGAGCAGCACCAACTTGCTAGTCAAGATATGGATCAATCTTCAGAGGTAACAGAGTAATTGGAAAGTGTCAAGAGTAAAATAAGGAGAAAGAAAACTAAAGCTACTAATAAATCAATTAATTCATCAAACAGAGTGATCTCAACAGAACCGAAAGCTCAAGAACAACGGCAAGAGAAACCAATAGCCATTGCTGATATTGTGGAATCTTTGCCTACAAAGCCAACTCCAACTGAGAGATCGACTTATATCACTATAAGTAGAACGGGCAAGAGCCCAGCAGATATAATCAATGAGTTGCCTTTACCAAACGAAATTGGTGTAAAGGCCTCCACTGTCCGTAGGACCAAGATTGGCTCTGTGCTGGTCCGCATGGATAATAGTAGTGATGCCATGAAGGTGATTGGGTGGAAAGGGCTAAGAGACAATGGCCTTCAAGCCAAACTAGCTTTGAGGAAGAAACCTAGATTGGAGGTGCAGGACGTTCCCCTCTCATGGGATTCAGCGGAGTTGGTGAGATTTGGAAGAATACCTGAGAAGTTGGTCCCCACTCCATTGATGATATCAGGCCACTTTTTTCCTCATTGGCAAGAAATGGCTTTACGAAGATGGAATTGGGTGATGGAAGTGCACCCTACAGTTCGGTCCCTGCTGTTCGAAATAGGAAACTTAGATGGAGGGTGGTGGAGTATTACCATCAAAGACTACCTTGACGCTCCTCAATGCAGTAAATGCCAGGGATATGGGCACACTAAGGCCACATGTATATCAAATGTAATAGTCTGTATTTGGTGCGCGTCCACTGACCATGTTATTAATGTTATTGCCCTAGGAAAACAGAACTGGCTAGCCCATCACGCATCAACTGCAAGCGGGAAGTCGGGAGTGCTCTGTGCACCTGAAGTGGGCTAATGAGGTAGTGAAGAGGACCTTTTATGAGTGAGCTTACCATCCTCCAGCTCAACATGGGCCACCGGCAGGTAGTGGCAGATGAACTCTGAGCTCCTTCTCTGCGCTACGATATTATGGCAGTCCAGGAACCGAGCTGCCGTGGAAACTTAGTAACGGGGTTTGGCCTCACATTGAGATTTATAACTTTGGCTGCTATTGTGCTTAATAATCATGATTAATAATCCTAAACTCGATGTGATGGATTTGAGGCAGTATAACACGGCTGATTATGTCATATCAGGTGGCATAATATTTACTTTACGCTAGTTTCATCATGCATGCCTGATGGAAATGACATATGAAGGGACATAACCTCCATGCAGATTATCACGGCTAGCACTCAGAACGAGATTATTAGACCAATTTCACCAGAAAATAATAATAAGAATTTCTATTCAAAGTAGAGCAGTAAGTGAAAGTTGTGTGATGCATGAACCAGATTTTTTATTATTATTAAGATTATCAAACAACAATAAAAACAACTTGGAAAAACAGAAAATTGTATCTGTCACTGGACTAATAATCAATAAATGTGCCTTCAGGTATAAAAAAGTTGGAATTCTACCCTATGCCAATCATGTGGTATTATTATTACTGTTGTTATTCAAATAATACAACTGTTTATATTTTTATAAGAGAAATAAATATAGTCCTATTATAAAAAATATTACCAATGGTAGTAATTGGTCTTCGTTTTGGTATACATGGAATTCCATAGTCTCCAACTGGAAGTGCTATGACCATTCCTGTCATATGCTTCAACACTTGCAGTAATTTGTATAATATAGTTCCTGGTATAGGTTTTAGTACTTCATAAATATCATTCAAACCAAAATGGATTACAGGTACCAAACAACAACTGAAATTAAAATATAGATAATCAAAATGTCTTTCATGAAGAATGCCATTTCAGCATTTTATATGTTTTTTATATATACATATACTGTGTAAATATCTGTCGACATAATTTTCTTCTGTGATTCCTACAATTTTTTTTATAAATTGTGTATATATTTTCTTTGTAGAAAGTTGCTGTTCTTCTATTATGATGATATTTTAAACTTTACCAAAATAAATAGTGCTCTAAATAAATTAGCTGAATCTCCCTATTCACAAAAATCACTCGACTCTCTGAAAGTGATAGAATGTGTCTTTTTACTTTCACTTACCTGAGTCAAAATGACCAAGTCCCGACAAATGGTCTGTGTGTTTGTATGTTAGCAGTCTACCTCAAAAAGGAAAAGTCCTATGAAACTGATATCACGTATTTAAGATAGGTATATGCCTTAGTTGTGACGGCAACTTTTCCTTAAAATCGGCTAACCGGAAGTGCCACTTTATATCAACGCTGAAACACATTTTCACAGTTTTCTTAAAAACGGCTCTAAGGATTTTGATTAAACTCGGTGTATCATTGTATAATTAAGTGGTATTTAATATAAATTAGGTCTTATCCCCATTGATGTCACTTTACAGGGCTTAAATGCCCAATGTTCATATACGTCTTCCTCTAAAGTACCTTTAATATGGTTTATTTTAAAAAGATAATTATTTCGCATTATTCAGAGTTACGAAAAAATGCTAAATATAACTTTTGAGAGAATTTGATAAGTTAATAAAGGAGAAAAAAAATAAAAATGCAAAAAAACGTAGCTATAGACTGTAGCGCCTAAACGAATGTACCGATTTCATTGAAACTTCGCTAAAGTCATTTTCTCGACACCCTTCAAATTTATCTATATAACATTCATCAGCGAAAAGAAGCTGAAAAAAAGTTACGAGGGATGGTAAAATTAAATTCCAAATAACTCAAAAAGTATACACTTTTTTTAGTTTTCTAAAAGTTTATGGAATATCCTAAAAAACAAAAAAAATCGTTAAAATCGGATAATTAGGAGATAAGATATGGTCTCTAGTTTTTTTTTAATACGTTCTGCTGCAATGGTTATATCCTTTGTTTCGGTTTTTGAATTTTGAATGTGTTAATAAGGTAATGCTAATTTTTTTAAAATGCATTTAAAATCCACCTAGGCAAGTTGATGGCATTGTTAAAAAAACTATTTCAGTGTACTTGTGTGAAAGAACAAATAAAATATAAAATCATTTCATGGATGTATAAATCATGTGTTTATAATATTAAATACATTTACTGTAGTTTAGTAATTATTTATTAAATTTTAAATCGGTCCATAATCGTCTTATCTTTTTGGCTACATTCAAGGAATTGCTGTGTTATATATGTGTGCGATGTTATATTGCGTTCCTGGCGTTTGAGAATTTAAAGAGAAAAAAGGAATTTTTTTTATTTTGGGAAAGTGTTTATTATGCTATGTCTATTGTTTAATATGGCTTATTGTTGATAATTTGTAAGAGTATTGTTATGAAGGGGGAGAAAAAAAAAGAAAAATATAATATAAAATTAATGTCCGTATGGATTGATAAGTATGCTGTGTACGAAGCAACCCTTTAGTAGGGCAGCATTACTTTTAATAAAGTATTTCTCTATAAATAATTAGGTATTAAAGTTAATTCCAAAATATTGTCATATAACTTTTTAGAAAACTAAATTATTGAATAATTCGATAGATCTTCTCTTTGTGATATTCCTCTACCATTTCATTGTACTTGTGTGAAAAAAGAAGTGAAATACAAAAATATTTCATAGATACGTTTATAACCCTAAATATATTTACTGTAGTTTAATAACTCTAGATCTCATAATATATTTAAATATTTAGATATCTATCGTCCGTTTATTCCGAAAAATCATCATGTAACCTTTTAGAAAATTAAATTAGTGAATAGTTTGATAATTCTTCTTTTTGCGATATTCCAACAGAATCCACTTACAATTAGTGTGACAACTTTTGACCTGTCTATGACAGTCACTGCAAATCTCTTAATTCCGTTTTAATAAACTTTGCAATGGAAAATAACAGTTTAATGACTTATAGTCATACAATCCATAACCAATGGATCGAACAATCCATAATCAACCGGTGATATAATAAATAGGACTTTTGTTATTTTAATAGCATTTGTGTTTTTTTAGCTTTAGCTCAGTTTAAAAAGCAATTTAAAACATTATATAATAGCCTAACATGGCCAGAAAATAATTTTTATTCAAAGTTCAAAGAGTAAGTGAAAGTTGTGTGTTGCGCGCACCAGATTTTTATGATATACTTTTCCCATATAAACTTTAGTAATACTAGTTTGTTTGTGAATTTTTTTTTGGAGGTAATTTAAATGATTTTATTTATAATTTATCAGACAATGTATACCCTTGTTATCCCAAATAATGCTTTTTCTTCATAACTTCAGGAAAAGCCAAAAACTCTGAAAAGTTGAAAATATATTTTACAGTTTCATCAGTATTTTGTGGAACGCTCATTTTTATTATGAATCTATTTCATTATATCAAGTATAAATTTTATTTAAAAATTTTCTTTTTTTTTTACTAATCATGGAAATAAAAAAAATATTGCTTAGAATAATTATTTCATTATAAGTTTTCTTACCCCAAATTAAGAGCTAATTTGATGAAACCCTTTCTCCTTTTTAATATTAACTTGTATTGTCCCGGTATAGAGTAAATAATTTCTTCTCCTCCACCAACATTCAAGTTAACAACATTACCTTTTTTGGTATTGTTCAGGAGGAATGCTAAGCTTCTTTTAGATGAAGATATAAAACCTAACAAACAAAATTAAAAACATTTATATATCTGTAAGATTTATAGATTTGTTTGCCTTGCTCTGTAATTAGTTTATTAAAGAATTAATATTTTATTTCCAATGATAATTTAAACAGAACTAATAGCAATTTCAATTACCTATTATTTATGACATTGAATTTATATATCAAGAACTAACTTATGTTGATGATTACTTATGATATAGTGGTTATTATCGGAAGGGATATTTTCAGAAAAGAAGTAAACTCAGAATCATCAGGATAAAGATTTAGCCATTTGAACAAAGTTAAAAAAATAAACAAATTAATATATGATTACTTATCTCCTTGAAGGGGTCAAATTACTCAAAAAAATCTTAAAATTCTAATTTTTATTTGGTATTTTTCCAAAGTTTATCTGGAGAGTCTGCTTAAACAGCTCTATTAGGCAGAGTTTTCTAGCAATATATGATGGTATACCTCTGAAGTGATTTGTGTAACCAGTAAATATAAATGAAAATCTGAGAAGAAATCACAACTCAAATGGGTGTGTAAAGTTTAAGGATTGGATAAATGCTAAATTGAAGGGTCAAGTATCGAGAGGTAGACTTAAGACATGGAAGGATTTGATTAGATCTGATCTTGTAAATATCGGTTTGGATATTACTCAACAGAGGGTATTTAGGCTTAAGTTTCTGGTGATTACAACTTCAAACTTCTGGGTTTGCTAAGTTTTTTTATTTACTTGTTATCAAATTATAACATTGTTCAAACTACCAATTTCCTATTATTTCTATTTGTTCTTAATATTCACAATATAAATCAACAAATTATGTGATCATTTGTTTGGTTTTGAAACAGTTAGTTTTGTTTTTTTAAAAGGAAAAATGTTGTCAGATATCAAAAGTAATATTTTTTTTTATCCTGTAAAATTACTTAATTTGTAAAAAAGGAAATATTGGCAACAAATTGTATAAATATTTAAATTTAGAGGATTTATTATTTTTCAAATTCATGATTCTTAATATAAGTACTCACCAAATCCTAAAAATAAATCTCTCAGTAGTGGAAATGTTAAATGAGAATCTACTGCAGCCAAGTAAAATTTCAAATTTGGAAATAGTTGATTTTTCGGAGAGAATTGAGTTAGAAAATTAACAAAAATACCAGTGGAAAAAAATCCATGAGGATGATTACAGAACATATAATTCCTATTGGGGTCCAATTCGGCTGTTTTTATAAGTGTCACTGGAAAATAGTCTCGCAAATACCTTAGAATAGGAATTGCCCCACAAATCCACAACCTAAGGAAAAGATTAATGAAAATATATTTATTGTACCAAGTATATAATTAAAAATTTTTTAGTCTTAAAATACTTACCGCCTACCACCTTTAAATGGTGTTTCCTTATCAAACCATGTCCATAAAACCAATACAAGAATAATATACCAATATTTTGTGAAGAAAGTTATATAAAGCATTAACAACAATAGAGTTAGATGCAATGATATCAGAATCCCATAGTAGACTGCTGCTAATACTTGAAAGCATCTCTCTAATGTGGTTAACATTTCAGCTAATCTGTAACAAGACATTTTAAGCTCATTAAAAGATATTTCGTCTTGTTGATTTAAATAATGTATTACTGAAAATAATTTAAAAAAGTAAAGTAAAATGAAAAAATACACATGTATAAATATTTTTAAAAATGCTGGATAATAATTATTGAAATTTATAATATTGAAACTAAACTGAGGGACCAAGCTCTTCTTTCCAGGTATAGAATAGGGTAAAGCAGGATTCATGGAGATCCTAGAATCCTACCACAGTCTTCTCACTAATATTGAATCTTAATGGAGGATAACAGCACATAAGCTGTTTACATTTATAAATAATTCTTCAGGGATCGTAATAATGAACTGGAGAAATCTAAGCTTGTCTGAATGTTTAGAATAGGCTTCCAGACATAATACATGCTTAATAAAATGCGGACTCCGATAATATTTTACACATATACATGCGCGATTTTCATAAATGCTCGTGTTGGTATTCATGATCTCCGCAATTATCTTAATTATATGAGAAACATCACAATATTTTATCGTGCGGATCAGAACTCCTTTTGGTCCCAGCGATGTGTCCAGCGATGTTGACTTAATTGCTTTTACCGATCGGACGTCGATAGCCATTAGATTTGGCAAAGAGGCGCAATTCTTGTAATCCGCACGTATACAGAGATTTTTTCTTTTCAAAGAGGCTTCTGAAGCGGCCTTCAATCTCGACTACCTTCAGTGGGCACTATTTAGGAGCGTCGGCGTTCATTATATTTTGAACTTCTTGTTTTCTCCTGTTATAGTAGTTGTATTGAGCCACCTCGAATTGGTATTACTCCTGCCGACGACTCTTATCTGCCTTGTTAGCCCTCTTTGGATTCGACACTTTCCCAGCACTCCTGCCTGCCATATCAGTCTTCTTTTTCTTTCTTAGCTTATAATATTTAACGGTAGGGTGCACTGGGCAGGCAATTCATTATTTTCATTTGCATCATCAATTAAAAAAAAATGCTTAGGGCTTCGTTGTATTCCACGTTATCTATATTATTAAGCCGAAGGAAGTCCTGAAAGGTAGCCAATCACCTGGTTGGATCTTGTTTCATACTATCCTCCTCACCCTCTCCATTTTCATTACTTGTTCTATTGTTAATTTGGCAGCTTAGTCTGTCGCTGTTAGCCTCCCTGGGATGTTTCTTTGCTATATGGGTTCTGAGACCTCTATCCTCTATGAAACTCAGCCAACAAATCAGACACACTTTGTCGTTGATCCCTGAATACAGATCTTATTATCTTTATTTTATTTCACTACTAGGCTCTCCGGACGTCAGCGGCAAATTGGGTAAACTTGAAATACGCCATTTATCGAAACTGTTTTGTCCAATACTTGACTTTCCTTTGTCCTGCCACTCCACCCTTGACGAACGTTTTATCGCCGCCTCCCGCTGCAGCCACAGACATCACGGAAGCCACCACTGCTTCTTGGCCTGGCTCTTCTGATCTCAGAACCTGTACTCTCACACCTACAGAATTTTAGAATTATATAGATCTGAGTCCATATATTTTTATCCTCACACTAATATATGAATATATGAGCATACAAATAGATTAAAATTATCTATACAAGTTAAAAATAAATAAATAATAAAAAAAAATATATACCCAGATATAATAATGTTAGTGAATTAAAACTAAATAAATAGATCAAAAATATATATTAAAAGGTTAAATAATGTCAGCAAGTTAAAATTAAATAAATAGGTTAAAATATATGCATGGATTAATTAAAATGAATTAGTTAAAATTATATAAATAGTTTAAAAAAATAAATACAGATCAAATAGTCTCAGTAGGCTAAAATTGAACAAATAGACTAAAATATTTAAAAATATGTACATGAATTCATATGAATAAGTTAAAATTATATAAATATATTAAAAAATATATAAATAGATTTATGTATGTATGCGTCACAATATGGATTAAATATATATATATATATATTTATAAAAATAAAAGTACATGCATGCTACAAAAAAAAAAAAAAAAAAAAAAAAAAAAGAAAGGAATCAAACAAATAAATAAATCAATAACAACAAGGTACGTTGGGCTCTTTGGATGATAGCTAGATTGATTAGATTGAATTGATAGATGACATTGAACTTGCTGAAGATATCTTGGCTGGCGGGGTGGGGGACGGCAGGTCGTAGCTGTACTGCTGAGATCAGCAGCCCGGTTCCGCAAGCACACTATTTTTTTTTACCTTCTGGGGCGATGTGTCCCTAACACCGGCTCGAGCCGAACTCCAAAAGTTATTTTTAAAAAGTGTCGCATATTGAAAAGTATTAAGGCGTATTAAGGAATTTTGTCTTATAAATGTATGGATGGTTAAGGTAAATTTATATTCAGGAAAAAGCCAAGCCAACGACAAAAATAATCTTTGAATGATGTACTAAAGAAATGTAAACTATCATTCATATCAGCTGTAAACATTTAGTTAAAAAAAGAACTCTAATTAACTATTTTTTTTACTCTATACCAAACATTTTAAATATATAAATGAATGAATGAAAATAAATAAAAATAAGATGAATCTAAATTTAAAGCTCGATCATAATTAGCAGTCCAAGTGCGAATTCATGCGATACTAAGTTGAATCCAAAACTTTTTTCCTAACTATCCGATATTACAAAATATTTAGGAATTGATACATATATCGTATGATTATATCGCAATCTTCTAAAGAATGGAGATATTTTTTAATAATATGTAAGTAATATCGGAAGGTTAGGTAAAAAGCAAAATGTTAGTTCCAACTGAGAACCGTATGAGTTCGCTGTCAGGATACCAAGAAGTCGTGATCGAACTATATTAAAATTAAGAAGTGAACATGTGAAAATATTATAAACTACTCGTTAAATATTACATGCGATAAAATAATAATACTGGTTTCAGGCGATTTGTTCGAGGTACGATGTTACGTGTTTATAGCAGCCAAGTATTTTTGGTTGTTGGTACGATGGTATCAGTAACTCTGGAAAACGTGATGATTCCATTTACTCATAATAAATCCTCTAATTTCACACACACACAAAAAAGAAAAAAAGAAAATGATATGCCCGGACTGGTACTCATCATCCACAGAAGAGACCTGAGAGTAGACTAAAAGGTATGGACGAAGCAACAGCTGATTACAAGAAAGAGGACCTCAGGGTTTATTGTCCGTAGTCAAGGCCATACGGTAGGCCCGCGCCCTGACCCTTATCCATTGGAGAATATTATGTCATATATAGTTCTAAAATATGATGTCATATATAGTTCTAGTTATTTCATATTTTCGAATTATATTTATAGGAACTAGAAAAATTTCACTTCCCCTTTGTACGAAAATACTTAATTTTGCAAAGAAGAGAGTGATAAGTGAAAGTCGTGTGATACGCGCACCAGTTTTTCATTTTTTTCATTTAACATTGCAATGAATATAAGATGGAGATTTTTAAAATGAATTTTGTTTGTATTCACATAATTAAAATATTTCCAAGAAAAACAGATCCACGAACTATTAAAGGTAATGAAAAACTAAAAAACATAACTCCTTTATTTACGGTTGTAAGAAATTTATCCTTGTTTACCTTATTAATCCTCTTTAGTTAAATGAAATTCGTCTGCCATTCAATGGATTCCCCCAAAGTTCACAGGTCAAAACTAAATCTCTTTTGTATGTTAATAATCTTTTAGTTTGTATAATAGAATTCTTATAGCACCTTAGATGCAGGAACTAGATACCGCTATAAAAAAAAACAACGTCTGCCAAGTAAGGCTAGTGTAGCTTCCTCACCGTTTTAATTGGTTAAAATACTAAAATATTACAAACCATACAATTTTTCGTATGAGAACAAAATCTCTGAGAAAAGCCGATTCGGAAATACAGTTACCCTTCAACATCCACAGGTTCGATATCCACGAATTTCGTTTATCAACTAATATTTAAATGTGAAAGGGTGCCGTATTTTAATATTAGCTGATAATCGAAATTCATTTCACTACCGTTAGTGCAAAAGATCGTATGTAAAAATTGATTGTTTTACAAGAGTACATAAAAACTCATTATTTCTTTATGCTTTATTAGTATAATTTCATATTTTATTGTCATCTGCTATTTTCCATAATACCAGACTACTCATATCAGTTGCAGACTACTAAATATCACCTTTAACACAAATAGAATAAAAGTTGAAATTTTTTACATAAGACCTTTTTGCACTAATAGTAGTGATATATACTTAATAGGTATGTTTTCACTCGTAAAATGGATGGACCTAGAAAATCCATAGGAAAAATTCAACTTGTTTGTTTCTTCATTCAAAACAAAACGCTTTAAGCTAGAAAATATAAACATGTGGGTGAAGTTCATATAACTTCGATATTTATGGAGGAAATCGAGACCAAGACAAACTGGTTGAAATTCAATGGAAATAAACAAAATCACAAATAAGACATTTTTTTTTTACAAACTCTGAGTATAAATTACTTTAAATGTACTCATAATTACACGAAATCTAAGTAATGGCAGTAACTGTAATGCCAGTAACGTTTGGAATTGACCAAAAATGCCATATCAATTAATTTGAATAAAACTTAAAATTTTATAACCCTATAAGAATATTGTAATAACCTAACTCCCATTCCATATGATCAGTGCCTTCAACATTTTACAGCCATTATATTGTTAACAATTATTTGTATTAATTTTATTTATTAAATAGAATTCAATGAAATTGATACTAAGTTATTTCTATGCTGTTCTCCAAATTTCCTCTAACTTTGGGTCAAATCAAATGCCCCGTTTTCAAACTAAAGGCATATCAAATAATACATTTCTTGAACTGAAAGCGGAAGTATTTTTGTTTTCGGAGTAGTGGATACAATTTGATAAAATTGATGCCTATTTCATTTTATGTTTACCAACCTCTAAATTTCCTCAGCATTTGAGGCAAATAGAACTTACGGTTTTACAGATATAGACGTATC